GAAGGCTGCTATAATTTGGGGCACAACATCACGTCATGAGGCAGTCCCGTTGGCTGGCTAATCAGGACCTTCACCCCCCCACACTGCTCCCCCACCCCAGGAGCTGTGAGAAGACAGTAAAACGCCCTGGACCTGCCCATGGTGTTGGCAAGGGACAGGTTTCCCAGCATTGGTGGCTTCCCAGGGTGAGTGGCCTCAGTGCAGGGTTATCACCTGCAGGGAGCCTGGGCTGGGAGGGAAATCCCCCCGGCGCAAGAATATACATCACCTTCCTCATTAACAGCTGACTGCAAAGGGGAAAAAAAAAAAAAATAAATGAATGCTGGAAAAGAATAATGAAGAGATCACCTGTGAGAAATGAGTTCTGCAAAGGCACATAGAGCTTTTGGGTTAAAGGACGGGATGTTTGTAGGAGATGGTGTGGAGTCATGGATACATCAAACGAGCAGCACGAAAATTAAGTTTTGAAAGGGCCGTAAACTTCAGCTCCGGGGGGGGCATAAAGCAGGAGCTAATTAATGGGGGCTGAGAGGCATCTGCCTTTTCATGGGGCAAGTTATTTTACAGCTCTCCCCCCAACAGAGCATTGGTGGCTTCCTGGTGGGAGGATGGGGGCTGGTACATCCATCCTTGGGAGGATGGGGGCTGGCACATCCATCCCTGCTGCCCTCTCCTTCCATGGGGGCACTGGGGGCAGAGACCTGCTCCCTCCCCATCTCTGTGTGCAACCCTGGTCATAGGGCTGCTTTTCTCAGGGCTGGGGAGGGGGGGACCGAGCAAGAAATACCCCAAAACGGACCCATAAATACGTAGCCTGGTCTGCACAGCATCTGTGGATGCTTGGACACTCTCAGGTCTGGGGAGGGGGTTACCGAGCAAGAAATCCCCCAAAACGGACCCATAAGTACGTAGTCTGGTCTGCACAGCATCTGTGGATGCTTGGATGAGCTGCTGTGCGCATATATTTTGCACTTATATACATATATACACACTGGAAAATATTATTTGACGGCACGTGATTAAATGGATCCTTTTTTTTTTTAATATGTGGCACACGCATGAAGAAATATAAGTATGCACTTGCACGTAAAATAACCAAATGTGAAGGGAAAATATCAAAATGCTCAGCCTGTGAGCTGGGCTGATTCCATGTATTTGTAAAAATCTTTGCTGTCAGTCGGGATCTCGCCACGTCACGCCGAGCAGCAGGGAGGACCAGTGTCCTCAGCATCTGGGGAAAGCACCAGAGAACCTGAACGTCTTTCCAAAACGTGCTGCGTTCAATTAAAAATCAATTAAAAATCCCCTCCCTTTCCCAGTGCCTGAAGCTTAGGGGGAAAAAAAAAAAAAAAAAAAGTTATTTAAAGATACATTATTTTCCAGCAACTAAAAGTTTGGATCGGGGGTACTTTCAAATTTCACTTTTGGCAACTGCAGCACTGCAAGCCCCACCGTGATTCCTGAGAGGAAGAGGAGGAGGATGAAGGCAGAAACACAGCCCTATTTATGCTGATATTAGATCTCGGGCTACATGATCTCATCTAATTTAAAGTTATTCCAAATGAACTATCTCCAAGAATATAATTTTAATGTTTCCCTATCAGGCCATTCTTATCTTCCTGCATTACCATGATATCATTCAGGAATAATAATCGCACTATTAGTTTTGGTGTCTAAACAAGCTGGCGAGGAGAAATGGATTCCAGTCATCGCCCTGGAAATTACTGCTGTCTTAATAAAAAATTAAAAAAAAAAAAAAAAAAGGGGGGGGGGGGGGGGGCTAGGAATTTTTTTTTAAAAAAAAAAAAAAAAAAAAAAAAAAAAAAAAGTTATTTAAAGATACATTATTTTCCAGCAACTAAAAGTTTGGATCGGGGGTACTTTTAAATTTCAGATCTTTGCCTCTCACTTTTGGCAACTGCAGCACTGCAAGCCCCACCGTGATTCCTGAGAGGAGGAAGAGGAGGAAGATGAAGGCAGAAACACAGCCCTATTTATGCTGATATTAGATCTCGGGCTACATGATCTCATCTAATTTAAAGTTATTCCAAATGAACTATCTCCAAGAATATAATTTTAATGTTTCCCTATCAGGCCATTCTTATCTTCCTGCATTACCATGATATCATTCAGGAATAATAATCGCACTATTAGTTTTGGTGTCTAAACAAGCTGGCGAGGAGAAATGGATTCCAGTCATCGCCCTGGAAATTACTGCTGTCTTAATAAAAAATTAAAAAAAAAAAAAAAAAAGGGGGGGGGGGGGGGGGCTAGGAA